AATCAGTTAGAAATGGTTAAAAATTTTATTGGTCTGTGAAATATCGCTGCCTGAATTTTTAGATTTTTTTTTTATTTTTTTAATTGTTGTTTAAATAATTTCACTAAACTTTAATCCACATAGTCTCCAATTCAAAATTAAAGGTACCACAGCTGTACACCACCAATGAGAAAGGTGTTCTTAAAATGTATGTCTAATATAGAAGTATAGTAATAAAGAAGTAAGTATGTCTAATATAGATCATCGTATTTAGTAAGAATAATTCAGCATTTATTTTTTTTTTAAATTTGAAGTTAATCAAATTGAAAAGGATAAATGCTGAAGTGGTCTGTTACATTTTGTTTTCTGAATCTAGGAAAAAATAACAATTATTGAATAAATTTTAAATTTTATTGAAAAATTTTGAAGCACTTCATTGAATTTGTTAACTTTTTTTTCTTCAATTATTGTATGGAATTTTGAATATTGATGCTGCTTTCTAGTTTCTTTGTATAAAATTAGTAAATAGTTTATTTCAGTTTGAAATGTTTCAATAACTTGAGTTATTGGTTGTAAAAAAAATGNTATATATATATATATATCAGCCCCATTGATTTTTATTTTTCATTAAATCTTACAACGCGGCGATCTCTAAATTTATCCAACCAGAGCGAGTTGAGTACTCGCATTTAGCATCTCAACCACAATGCTTGATTTCTCTTCATTTGTGTTCACTTTAGTCATTGTTGCCAAACATTTGATATCTAATATTGATTCGAATGGGTGCAAGTTTAGTTATATATATATATATATTTTGTGACTGGTGGAAGCTTGGAATTTTGCGCTTCTAAGTTTGTTACTTTCTATAATATATTTCCCCCCTCGCTTGCCATTATTCTATTCTTGCATTTGGGTTTTATTCAAAAATATCCATGCCCCGAAAATTTCTCTTGGAAAAAATTAAGGGAATAAATTAACAAGGTGGCCACAAAAGAGGACAAATTAGGAAGAATAGGGAGGTTTATCAATCGTGAAATATCAGGGAACTTAAGTAAAAGACCCCAAAAGTCAAACGAATAAATTTATGTTTGTTTGAGGCATTTGCACGTCTTATATTTTAACTGAAAAAAATTGGTCTTGTTATAGATTTTTGTTTAAAAAATTGTTTATTTTGTGTTGAAGAATAAGGCGTAACTGAAAAATTAATAATCCAACTTCTGCCACCAGGTTTTAAAACATTTTTTTTAGTGTTTGTGATCACCCTGATTAAGTATTTTCTATTCCATTGCTACATTTTATATTATTAAGGATGTCTTAATGACTGGTTAATAACGCAATCAAATTTGCACTCGTTCAAACTACATTAGATATAGCAGACTTGACAACAATGCAATAATCAGTTCAATTTAACGAAAAATTGAGTAATGTGTTAAAGATGTCTCGCTCTGCTTGCAACAGGAGAGATTCTTTTTGAATAAATTCTGATATCGCCATACAACATGATGTGCATTATCATCGATATCTGATGATAACAATATAATCGATAATATAAATCAAAATAATCCTGAAGTTGCTATATTTGCCCAGTCTAACAAATCAATGAAAGTTCTTGCCAGAGAACATTAACACAGATGTCTGTTACTTCATGTGAATTATATAAAAAGCCTTAATTCATCAAAATAAATATATTTATATATTTTAAACGAAATTAAACTTTACTGTGCAGTTCACCACAAAAGGACCATTTCGTATGAATCTTTCTCTCAATATCTGAAAGACATCAAAATGATTGTATCTAGCCTACACGTGGAGTCCATTAAATATTTACTTCTAAAAAACCATGAATAATCTACCTTTGAGCAAAATAGATTAAGATATATGTATTATATATCTTCGCAAATAAACATTTAAGTCTAAATTTTTAACGTTTTTTTTATTAAAAAGTTGAAAAATTATGTTGTTTTTTTTAAACATTTTCACTCACTGAAACGTCACACCTCTGAATACCAAGTGAAGACATACAAAAATAGGAGAGGATTTCAATATTTGATTATTATTTTTGTTAGATATATGCATTTAAAAGGAGAAAGTTGAAGGCTTGTTTAAAACTGGAAGCGTTGAGTAGTGTAATAACAGTTGTTAATTAGAGTTTCACCAATTAACCCATTGGTGCCCACAAAGGACCGATTCTAAAAAAAGTATCATAAGGTGATTGAATTTTTTTTTGTGACAGAAATTACTTATAAGGTCTTAATTGTTCGCAATCCACTTTTATATAATGTCTTCTATAGTTTCAGAGTCAGAATAGTTCATTCATGATTGGTAGTTGGTGAGCATGTTGCGCAGGTCTGGTGAATACCGCCACCATCTGCCCTCCGATCTAAATTATGGTAGAGCAGTGAGTGCATGCGTCATTAATGCCACCATAAGGGATGAATTACAGAACGCCATCTATAGCCCATTAGCATAAGTAAAGCGACGTTAACAATTAATACAAAATCTATAAGTTCGATATTCTAGAATCCTGACCGAATAATAAGGATTAAAAGGGTCGCTGTAAACCAATAATTTTCACTCACTTTAAGTTGTCTTGGCTAGAAAGGCAGGACAGCATATAGAATTGTCCCAATTACTCGATTTTTCTACTTTACATTAATATACCATATGTTATTGAAAAATTTCGATTCGGGGCACCAATGGGTTAATTATTATCATCAGGGGGACCGGAAGAATGGCGTCAGCATTTCTAATTTCTCCGATAAATGGGCAAAACGTCCCCTATAAATGGCTTAAGCTTCTCCTATAAATAGATTCAGCTTTCTCTACAAATGGGTACTGTTTTTCCCACAAATGGATTAGGTTTTCCTTCAAATGGCATTAGTTTCCTTACAGTTTGGTAAGATATGAAATCGTTTGATATCCTTTCTAGAGTTGGCAACTTTGTAATTGTTTTCCTTTTAAAGCTCAATTTTCAAGCCTCATCTTTTGGAGACCATTCTTAGCAATCACTTCCTAATATTAAAAGAATTTTGTATCATAATTTTTTTGCTGACACCAATCTGATAAGTTTATTAATTGTTCGCTGTTATTACATTGTTATAGGTAAGTCATTTAAAGTAATTATTTATTGTTCAGTTTATTTAATCCTTTTATAACTTTTACAAAAGGAGAGAGACGTTGGACAAATAATCTATTTTAAATATCTGAGTATGCAAAAATGAGCTGTTTGTACTACTGAATATGACCTTAAAGATTTTTTCAGTGCTATTTAGCGAGCTGTTTCTTTTTACTGCTATTCATTCTAGTTTGAGTGATAAATTAAAATTTAAAAAAAAATGTTAATTTTTTTTTTAAATTTAGAAATCGCTATTTTGCCAAATTATTTTCATACTGAAGTTATTTCTGTCCATCGATATTCTATATTATCATCGATATTCTAATGATATAACGACGCATAAAAATCATGGCATTTTTGTTATGAATGTAAGCCTATATGAAAAGAAACATAAATAGTTGGATTAATTTCAAAATAATATAAGTTTCTAAAGCATAAACAAGAATCAATTTTCTTAATTTCTGAAATATTTTTGCTATACAAAATATAATATAATTGTCGAGATTATAATTTCGATATTTATTATAGATATATATAATTTCGATATATAAAATATTTAAGTTTATTTTTTCTGGATTTAAAAATAAATTAAACTTGTTTTAGTCTGAAAAATATGTTTTAATGTTCCAGATATTTTTTCTGTAAAATTTCTTTAATATAAATATGTTTTCTCTGAGTTCACATTACTAATTCATGGCATACATAACTTTGATATAATAATAGAGTTTTATAAAAAAATTAAAAATTTTATTCTGAATTGATGTATTTTTTAGGTTATGATAAAAATTATTGATATTGATGTTCTAATTAATATATTGATATAATTGGTAAACTAGAGCATGTGCTAATTTTCTTGACAAATGAAAACTAGGCTGAGTGAGAATGTTAATACTGATTTGCATGAAAGTCAGTGCGTATTAAACACTGGTCCATAATAAAAGGATAAAAAAGTTTCATTTTAACGTACAAAAATTAGACTTTATGGGTTATTCTTACGAATTTCGAAGTATGAATCAAGACATAGTATGGATGGTTGACTGAATTTAAAGAATGACAAGAGTTCCCAAAACCGGAAGAAATTTGGAAAACTTCCTGTGTATCCCTCCGCCTGTGTTATGCTTATGAGGCGATGTGTGAACAGGCTCAATATTCTAGGAAGTTTCATTAATGCGATTTATGTTTAAATTTGCGCGTAATTTTAACCATTCATAAGAATTTGCTGTAATTTATAAATTCTAACTGGTTTTGAGCCTTAAACAAATTTAAGAAAATTAATATCACAACATAAATGAAGTTTAAGGTTTGCCACGTTTTGAGCGTTATCCCTTATTTGGCAATATTTGCGTAAAATATCACCGTTATTTATTTTTGGGATTGCATTTTGCAGAGGATAACATGCTTGTGGAGTCTTCCTAATTCTTATGTTGTTTGTTTCATTGAAATTTAAATTTTAAAAACGCGTTTTATTTTAAACACTACAAGTATAATAATATTTGATGGTGTTCTTTTTCAAGCTTAATCATAAAAATCTATAGGAAATAGTAACTCGGAAGTCTTACGACAAATTTTAACCCCTAGATCCATCTGTAATTAATTTTACATGGTCAACCATTCATAAATTCCTTAGTATTTTTGTTAAAAACTTTTTAGTGGATTTCTAAGTATTTGATACGCACAGCTTCATGCATTAAAATATACAAATCATCACATTTTGCCGAAATTAAAGTCTTAGAACAATAAAAATTATCGCTAACGTGACAATAGCTTAGCTCTATTTAATGATAATGAAATAAAAATTTAATTTTGATGACAGATGTACTTATCTTCTAATTAATAAATTAATTGTAATTTTAAAATTTTCACCAAGGTTTAAACTGATTAGTAATTAAAATAAGATGAAACGATCAAAGCTTTTTAAATTTTATTTGAGAAAATAAAACAAGGGAGTCGTTTTTATGCTAGATTTCGTTACGGTTGTGACTTGCAGAATGTTACATTTGTGCTAAAATAATATTGTTATGTAGCCGGCAATATTTCTGAATACTTGAAATGAGTTTATCAATTTGCTTTCAGAGCCCCATTCTCATGTCACGTGGAATATACTGATAGTACAAATACGTACAGATAGTGCATCAGACATTCCAGAAACAAGAAACTATTTATATTAGTAATTCTTCGCATTAGTCGTCATTTGTACGGATTTTTCACTAGTGAAACTTATCGCTAGGTTTGTATCGGTTTTACGTTTATTAGGGTTTCGCGAACTTATGTTTAGGGTTTCAAGCGGTTGCTGCTTCGAAAGATCTGATAGCAAAATCTATATTAAATGGGTCATTTTCCCGACTTAGCATCTCCCGAATTGCAATTTTCTCTAACGCCTGATTTACTGTTTACATTAATTACATTTACATCTCGATTCAAAGCCGTTTAGGTTTTGACATTGGACTGATATAGTTGGCTGAATTTATTAAATGATTCATATTTCCGACTATGCTTTACCATCAAACACGATTCATTTTTATTTGGAAGCTGCAATAAAGCTTAAAATATTGGAGCCAAGGTCTTTGAAATACCATACAAGGAAACATTACCAAATTCATGTTTAGAGCGTTGAGACAATGCACCATTCGGGTAAATTGCATTGTCGGGCAAATGAGCCATTTAAAGATGGAAACATTTTTTTTCTCGAAAATATGAATCATTCATAAAAAGTTGTAAAGATATTGTGATGTATATGGTGGGGATCGAAAATATTACAGGAAGAAACATAAAATAAATTGCTTCTATTTTAAATAAAAATGTAATGGTTGCCGAAAAGAAAATTGGACAAGTGTGATAGCCTGAAATACAGTATCGATAGCAACACTATCATGCAGGGTAAGAAAAAAAGCGCAGGAAACCAGGTGACACAAATTAACTTATCCACATGAAAGTATTTAAAGTGAATGTAAAGTCGTACTACGAAAGATGCATCCAGAACGGAACAATGCGAAGTAATATGATTTTTTGGGGGAAACTGTAACTGCTCAGTTCTTTTACAATCGTAAAGTGCTGCAGAGTATTGAATCGTAAATCTTCGATTATCACTAAACACTCTATCAACAACATCACTGGAATCTTTGAGATCAAGATCTTTTCTAGTTCTGGGCAGATACGATATTCATGTACGTCCTTCACGAAAACGTTTACACCATTTGTTCTCTGACCTTTAGTGTTTGCCATAAACTGCAAACAATCAACGATAAATGTCTGCATGATGCTAATTTTTATTGAAAATCTTACTATCGCGACTTATTCTGTTCTGGACGCATCCATCTTGCACGATTTTTCATTCTCTTTAAATGCTTTCATGTGAGCTCGTTAAACAGTAAACGCTATCTGCAATCCGTTTCTCTTATCTTAACTGAAACTATAAAGGGTGACGCTAATATAGTTACTGTATTTCTGGCTTGTTTACTTTTCATTTGGGCAACCGTTACATTAATAAAGTTTTGAATTTATATAAATTCTAAAATGAAATTTTTGCTCGTTTTGAAATACAGATTATGTTAAAACTTTTTTACTTGAACAAAATTTTGATACTAAAATTTCAACCCGACATTTCTGATATTAAACTGTAAACTTAGTTTCAACACTTGTAAAGTAATTTTAAAAACAATATAAGGATAAACTGTCAATATCTGATTCCTTATAATCTTCAAATACTTTTTTTGCCAACATTTAAATTCTCGTTGAATATTAATATAATTCTACTGGCTAATTAAATTACTAATTTATGTCTTGTATAAGAAAACAACGGTACATTAAAACTTCTATAACACAAATAAGAGATGTATATAATGCCTGTAATTTGCTTCGTCAAAATTCCCCTCTTTTTCTAACGCCCCAAGTAACTTTCTTGATAGAACGGCACACCAAACTTGAATATCTTTCATTTTTTTAAAAAATGTTTTCCTTTTCTTTTAAGTACTTATTTAGTCATATATAGGTCCCGTGAGAAAGACATGTTTTTCTTCACAAAATTAAAGTTATTTTGATGCACAGTTATTCTTCGTTGGAGCCTCCAAGAAGATAGAGAAAAATAATTTATCTTCTTCTGTTGAAGGGATTGCTGGGGCCGTTACTGGACTGTTCAGCTAAACCATCAACTTCACTATCAATTTCAATTACGCCATCTGCTGAAAAAAAGAGTAATACAGAAGAATAATTTCAGTAAAATATCGCCAATTTAAAATGAAAAAAAAAAATTAATACTCTCTATTATCCGTATTAATCATTAAGAAGATTGATACGAAAAATCGAAAATACACGGATAATTTGAAATAGTTTGTTTTACAGTGGAATAATTTATAAATACTATTTAAATAATATTTAAATATGATAAATGATTATGAAGTTTCACAAAATGATACTCATTTTACTTAGTTTTTTTATTAACTTCTTTTCGTGTGTGGGAGGGTGGGACTTTGCAAACGACATTTCGATCACTTTTCGACATGCTAATACATTAAGATAATCTCTGCTCTTTATAAAGCTAGGTCGTAGCTAAA